AGAGTAAGTATTAAAAATATTTCAGGCATTTTTGTGGCAAATCCAATGACAGATCACCAGATTAGACTAAAAGTTGCCCTGCCAGGTAATCGCAGAAAAGGAATATAAAGAGTCAAGAGGGCCCGGCCAGGATGGCTCAGTGGTTGAGCATTGACTTACGAACCAGGAGGTTACGGTTCGATTCCCGGTCAGGGCATATGCCTGGGCTGTGGGTTTGATCCCCAGTGTGGGGCGTGCAGGAGGCAGCCGATCAGTGAGTCTCTCTCATCGTTGATGTTTCTATCTCTTTCTCTCTGAAATCAATAAAAAAAAATTTTTAAAAAGAGAATCAAGAGGTTTCAGTGTGGGGCAAAATGGAGATGCCTCCATCTGTTAGCAAAGCATGCTCCGCTAATCTTGGGAGCAGTGAGTAAAACCAGGGCTTCCTGGTTGCTGACCACATGCAGGTGCGGTGACAGTGGCGTACCTGGAGAGGGCACAGGAGCTCTACACCCCTTCCTCCAGACCTAGCCCTAAGCATTTCTTCCATCTGGCTGTTCCCGAGTTGTTACCCACTATCATAAATCGGTAATAGTAAGTTTTTTTTTTTTAAAAGAAAAACCATATGTAGAAGTACAATTACAGAGAACACTTCATCAGCCTCAATGTCATTCTATAATTTAATATTAAACTTCTCTACCTTTTTATATTTACATTATCCTTTTTCTCCTCAGATCTTTCCAATTATCTCCCTAGTACACCATAGCTCCTCCCTAAAAATCCCAAACTTTTAGCTCTCAGTTAAGAATGTGATTTATTTTTTAGTTAAGACAAGAGATGTATATGAACTGCCTGGCTTAATAGGAATTTTGTACAAATCTGGAATCACCCATCTTCTGGTAAGGCCCTGCTGATTAAATCAGATGCAGGACTTTCCTTTTCCATCTCCAAAATGGGGAAAAGAAAAAAGAAAAAAAAAAACCTCTCTGAGGTTGTCAGACTTGATTCCTACTCGGCTCAAACAATGCTATGTACAAAAAGTCAACATACCAAAAAATTCTTTTCTTCCCACCCCAGATGACGATACACTGGATATGCTCAGAACAAAGCTACAGGAACAGTGTGAGTATGGTAAGAACAAATAGCCCTAGCCAGCATGGCTCAGTGTATAGGGCCTCTGCCTGCAGACTGAAGGGTCCCGGGTTCGATTCCGGCCAAGGGCACATGCCCAGGTTGCAGGCTCAATCCCCAGAGTGGGAGCGTGCAGGAGGCAGCTGATTAATGATTCTCATCATTGATGTTTCTGTCTCTCTCTCCCTCTTCCTCTCTGAAGTCAATGAAAAATATATTTTAAAAAAAGAAAGAAAGAAAGAAAAAACAAATAGACAAGTAAGAACTTAACAAGTAGAGCGATCCAGGACCTGGCTTTCCCTTCTTCTGATCACTACATGGGTGACTTTTAGGTAAGTCAGCTATCTTCTCTGAGCCTAGGTTGCTCAACCTGATATGAACCAACTGGATTAGAAAATCCTCAAAGCAACTTTTAACACTAAATAGCTCTATTCTCTGAATGGAAATTACAAATCTGAATGTTTATGAATGCACTTGGCACGGCAATCCCATGATGTCCTTCACCTGAAATGTCATGCAATTTGTGTACTTAAGTGTACACACAAGCTTACCAGAGCATACAAGCATTTTTGGATTGGAAGATGGGAGTGAAAAGGTATAAAAGGTCCCCTGATTTCATCAGATTCTTAAACAGCCCTAACAAAAAAACAAAAAAAAAAAAAACAAAAAAAAAAGTTAAGAACAACTGAACTGTAAAACTACACAAAAGTAGACATTACATATAAAAAAAATTTTTTTTCCCCCAAAGTAGTTTGCAATGAACTATTTGTATCTCAAGGTGCAGTGTTTACCAGCTAAGGGAAGGAAAATATTGATGAGATAAACTGAACTACTAGAACTTCCTTCTTCAGTACCATCAGCTTGTGATTATATAAGGGGAAAGTGGTAGGAATGATCTAGAAAAACAGAAATAAAACTAATTTGGTTTTTACATCAGATTTACTCTTCCAATTATGATCTGCTTCCATACGGATTAACATTGTTTCCTTTCTTCCAAACACTTAAAAGGAGATCGCCAAGAAAAGCACAAAATTTGTCTAAAGGCCTAAAAATAAAAGCAAAGTCATATCTATACTGTAGTAATGAAGTCCAGCAGAACAAGGATTATTTGGGAGGCCCTAGAGTCAGACTGCCTTGTTCATATCATCATCACTAGCTATGGAGCCTGAGGCAAGACAGTGAATCATTCTGAACTCAGTTTTTCTTTTCTGTACATCCGTACTTAGTCAAGTTTTGAGACTTAAATGAGATAGGAGTTTTAAAAAACAAGGAAACAGAAAAAATTAGCTATAATTATTTCTCCTCCCCAAAGCTCTAAATCAAAGAAGAACCCAGGACATCAATGATAAATGTAATCCACAGAAAAGTCTACCTCATTTTATCCAGTAGCTGCAACTGGTTCATCCAAACAAGCAGCAAAAATTGACATGTCTCTTTCTCTTTTTGACCTCACAAACTCATCAGCAGAAGTGACACACACAGAAGTAATTGAAAGATGAGTACAGGAGGAGGAAGAAGAGAAGTAAAGTCCCAGACCAGCACTGTCCAACGGAACCTTCTGCCATGATGGAAATGTTCCATATAGGTATCATCCAATATGGTAGCCACTGGCCACATGGGGCTATTGAGCACTTGAAATAAAGTGCTACTCAGAAGATCAGTATTTATTTTTACTTAACTTTAATTAATTTCAATTTAAGTACCCACATGTGGCTAAGGCTACCTTATTGGGCAGCACAGACCGAGGACCCATAAACTGAATAAGGATTGCCAAAAATCTAAGAAAAAAAAACGAGGGTCTTTTCCTGATTTGTTCATATGTTCAATTCAAATATCTTTTGTTTTCAGTGGAGACCTAGTCACTATGACTAGTTAAAGAAATAACATGTCAGCTGATACATCAACATAGAGCAACTCAGTAAGTATGTGGTCCTCTGATATTTTAGAAGGTCCCAAAGGCCAACTTAAATTCAAGCACACATGAAGCATGATTCAGGAGAGGGATCGGAGCTGCCAAGGTCCTAACATCAGCACCTCCACGGCGTCTGTTTCTCCACTAGCGAACGAAAAGCTACTTACACGATGCAGACTGCACACCCCTGCATTTGTCAGAAATTCAGAGCTCTGTAAGCCTTCCCCTCTTTCCAAAACACCAGCATTCCTGGCTGGTTCAGCCTTTCCACTCTGAACAAAAATCCATGTACCACCCATATCTGAAGCATAACACCAGACTCCTGCTTAGCTGCCCCTGTAATATGGTTTAATTATGATGACTGAACTAATAGGCTGACATCATAGACTTTTACAGGCTGACCCCATGTCATCCTGATGTATCATTTTGCACCAGTTCAGTGCTGTAAATCAATTTAAGATCTCGAGCAGGTTGAAAAGGCTGGTAATGATGCTTTCTCTGCTGCCTCTGGGGACTCCACATTATACACAACTTACATTATTTATAAAGCCTCAATGATGCCTCCATTAGCCTTGTAAGACTACACAAATGAGATCTTTTATACACACACACAACTTGGCCCTGATTATGTAGGCGACTGCAGCTTAAATATACTGGTCTAATTACATTCAAGTTCATTCTTTTCCCAATCTAACCAAGTTATTAAGTTTTATCTTTAACCCAGAATTACTAGAAATCAAAATTACAAGCTGAAATTTACTTTTTAACTATTAAGTGTATTTGGGGGAAATGAGACTTCTTCCTAATGCTTTAATGAACTTAGCAGAACAAAATTAAGTTTCAAGAGGTGTAAGAGGTTAACATTTTTAATTGCCTAAAACTGTCATTTCTCTAATGCAAAAAAGTCATCAGTTCTTCAAGGGTATAAAACCAAAGGATACTGCAAAAAAAGAAAAGTGGATTTGGTTACATACCTAGGGTTGGAGGGGTCAAAACTAAAGCAAGGACAAATCCCCACCTTCAGGAGAAACTCGACCTAGCCTGGATCCCCTAGAGGCCCTGGCATCACCCACTTCTAGAAAATCATCTCTCTCCACCCTGGTTACAGTTTCCCAAGAATTGCAATATTACACAAATGTACACCACCTGCACAGAAATATCAAATAACTGCAAATGGGAACGAGGGAGGGCTGGGGGAGGACAAACACTTAAATCAGGACAACATATTTAGGCCTGGCACCTACATGTCAATAACACTGGATGCACAGTATTTCTACTAATTGAAAATGCTGGGGCAGTGAACACTGCTTCCGCCTCGACTCTTTCCCAATGGTGGTGGCACTACAGCTCACCTACCTCCAATAAAACGCAAAGTGGTAATTAGCAGCAAGGTGAAAAATCAACCTGGGCAGAGAACAGTTTTCTCCTTGTGCTCCTGAATGCAGTAGGCATGTTACCCACGCCAGGCAGGCAGCTGGAGCGAGAAATGTTCGGAAATAAGGGCAATCTGCCATCTGTCCGCCACAGGAAAGACATACAGAAATCGTGCAACTTCTGAATCATTCCACCTACTTTGAAAGTTCCGATACAATGGAAAGGCCGGTTGCCGCAGCACTCACGAAAACGATGCTTTCTCGGGAGATGGTGCTGAGACGCGCCTCGTTTCCAGAAGGGAAGCCAGCGCCTTGTCGGCTGTCTCGCGCAGTGTATTTAAAAATCGTTTGCGCTTCCAAATAAACAAAAGCCGCAGCTACTGCAGTTGTGAGATCCGGCAGGCATCTGTCCCCCCTCCCTTCCTAAGGACATCAAGGAAACGCTCTCCCTTCAGCCTTCATATTCAGTAAGCAGCTAGAAAAACAAGCCCGCATCTCCCGGCGTCTCACCCCCACCACCCCCACCTTCTACAGAAACAACCCCGAGCAACCCTCCCAAAGCCAGGGAACGGAGTAAAGGAGCAGTTGTCCAACGGCGAACTCACAAATACACTTGCAGTGAGGCAATCGAATCCGGTCAAGGGAAAGGAATGAGACGACACTTGGAGGCGCACGGGGTGTAGGCGGAAGAGAAAAAAAAATTACGCGCCGCCGCCGCCAAACCTTTGAATAAATTAGAGGGAATTTCGGGACGAACTTTCCTTGACCTCGACCCCCAAAAGGCTCGTTGGGGCAGAGAAGGGGACCGATCTGGGACAACGAGGGACCCAGGGCACCGGTGTCCCCCCGCCCCCCCCGGGCGAGACCGGCTCCGAGCGCCCAAAGGGCAGCGCCGGCGGCCGCCCTCCAGCTCCCCAAAGGGTGGCCCGAGCCAGCGCGGGACACAATGGGCCAGCGGGCCGCGCGGACGGGCCTCGGCCGGGCTGCAGAAAGGGAAAGAGAAACGGGGAGCGGGCGGAGGGGAGGGGAGGGGAGGGGAGGGTGGCCGGGAGGTCCCGCCGCGAGCAGGGCCAGGGGCGAGGCTCTGGCCGTGGATCGCGGCTTCCCCACCACAGACCCAACAAAGACGCGAAGGGAATCCTGGCTGAGCCCTGCCGGCTGGTGGGGGCGAACGGAGGAGAAGGTGGCAGGTTCGCTCCTCCGAGCGGCCCGGCGGCGCCATCACGGTGGGGGGGGGGGGACCCCGATCCGCCC